AGAGCTCCTGCTGGAGAGGTAGTTGGTTAGCTTGATTCCAGGACATCCTCCCTCCCCACCCCCACCATTTTCTGAGACAGTGTTTCTCTGTGTCAGAGTCCTGGCTCTCTTAGTACTCACTCTGTTGACTAGCCTGGCCTCTTATCTCACAGGGATCCTCCTGCCTCTGCCTCCCCAGTGCTGGGATTAAAGGCGTGTACCACCACTGCTGGGTGATTCCATGGTTTTGAAAGTAAAAACAATGAAAGAATTTGTTTTTACTATATACTGTGAGTTACGATTTTGATGAGTTCAGAGGCCTCCTACCATCCTCTGCTCACAAGGTGGCAGTAGAATGTAGCGTGGAGAGTGAAGGCTGCTGTTAGAGATCGTTTCTGGCCAACCTGGCCTTGCTGTGTATTTCTTTGAGAGCTTTGTTTTGGAGTTTGTTTTGAGCCCGCTGATGTGATAGGAAGCACACTTGGGCCCTCCGAAAGAGCCACCTGTGCTCTTCACTGAAGAGCAGCTCTACAGCCTCATGCCATTCATTAACTAGTGACAATTTTATTCCTCTAACAGGCAGTTGGTAACATTTGAATACTTTCGTTTGTTTGGCTGGTTTTGATACAGACAGAGTCATGAGTGCTCCACAGGTTGGAGCAAAGTGTCCAAGTTCAGTTGTTCCTTGTGGTCAGCCTCCCAAGTAAAGGAGACAGTGCTGGCTGTCATAACCGAGAAAGTGACACCAGTATTTATTGGGGAGGGCCAGGGGTGCTGATGGATATTCCATAGTGTATAGGAAAACCTCCCCTCAACTAAGTCCATGTTTCTTATTCTCAGATTGAGAAACCCTTAGATGTCTGTGCCAGTGTGAGCCAGTCCTACACACACACCCCTACACCTTTTTATATTCTCCTAAAGAAATTGGCTACTATCATTCTAGAGCTACCAAAGAGGTTAGTTGTAATATGCAGTATATGGCTTAGGCTTGGTTCTCTGGGAGAGCAGACATTGCCTCTCATCATTAGTGATGGCCTAACTACAGATTCTTTTGAGGACAAAGACTGCAGTCTCAGTGACTAGCACAGGGTTTAATTTAAGGACACCTGTAAATAAGAACATGTTAACAGTTACTGTCCTCAGAAGATCTTTAAAAGAAAAATACATCAACAATTCAGAAAGTTTTAAAATTCTGATCATTAACACCCCGCTGTATCATCATAACCAAATTGAGTGTTCTCTAATGTGTGGCTTGTGTATACACCCAATTATTTGTGAATCTGTCTACCCCTCCATTGCTTAAATGAGTCCCGTTTCTGCTGTACTAGACAGGGCTCCGCAATCTCATGCAGTAACTAAAAGCAGGTCTGTGTTCCCAGAACCGAGAAAGATAAACTGGAAGGACCACACACTTAGATAGTGAGAAAGTCTGGCAAATAAGCACATATAGGTTCACTTTGGCTCAGTAGTTAAGAGCACATACTGGTCTTGCAGAGGACCCTAGTTTGTTTTTCACCAGCCACAGTCAGAAGGCTAGTTGTTGACAATCAACTTCTTGTGGCATACAAGGGCACTTCATTCACAAGTGTAACACCACTCCTCAGCTTAGGAATGATTTCTCATAAGGTGTCAAGCAAAATATGGAATATAAACACAGTAAAACTTTCAACAGGTATCCAACCAAGCTTTTATTTGGATTTTATTGCAATCTACTTTTGGCAATAAGGGAAGAGTGACCATAAGAACTCAGATTTTATTCAACAAAGCAGTTTTCATGAATACTTAAGGTCAGTGTATAGTCAGCTCAGCTTCCAGTATCAGCTTGAGTACCTCATCATGGACATTTATGCCAGAATGATAACAGTAAGGCATGGCAAGATGCTACATTGTCTAATATTAAACCATAGTTTACACATTATAATTTTCAGGATAGTAAAGTATACTAATACTCCACAATAAATAAGAATTTTTAAAAAGTGTTGCTTAGCCCTTGTTTAACAAAATTCCATTATTACCTTATTCTTTAAGTACTCCAGTTAATAAAGGTTTGATTGTACTTCAAGAACTCTGACTTTTCCAAATATTACAAACTAGTTATTGTTACAATAAAAACAAAGTTTTAAAGCACATCCACACTTGTCCTTAAAAGCATGTTCACATCATATATAACTTCTTATGCCTGACAACATGGCTTAGATGGCAAAAAGAGTTACATACCAGGACAACTAAGTGGCAATCCTCCCACCGCACTGCCTTCAAAAAGCCACGCTCGGCCTCAGTGTAAAACTTGTACTTTATTGCCATGCTACAAAATGTATGAAGTTGGCACTGATAGGGAGAATAAAGAACAAAGAGCAAGAAGGGATAGAGGGCAGGTGGTGCTGTTACATATACAAGGCTTTATTTTAATTAACAGTGGTTAGTTTTGCCCATACTAAAAACGCAAATGCAAAATTAAAATGCTGACATGGAACAGCATTAAAACACAATTTGTGCATAGTACAGTATCACATCATTCATTAGGGGAATGTGGAATGTTTAGAAAAGAAATTAACCATGGGCTAAAATTCATATCTCATATACAATTTGGCAATTGTAGTCCCACTGTAGACAACTTTTATAAAAGAAAAATTAAAATCTAATAAGCTACCTTTATACAAAGTTGCTATATTTATGCCTTTATGTAGGAAAAAAACATTTATAATGCAAATTAGGACATACAATGATCTTACATTATTATACAATGTAATGAAAATAGAAACATAACACAAAGTTTGTCCTTTATAAAACATCTACTTTGCATTAACTAATGCAAATGTGGCACCTGGTGACTACTGTACTATTGACACCAGCTTGTTTCCATGCTGTCTTGTCCAACTGCAAGAGAGTTTCACCTATAGGATGCTGTAAGAGAACCGTTACACCCTGAAAACTGAGGAAGCAGGAATAAGGAACAGGCAGCAAGAAGACAGGGTGCTGCTCTGGGCAGAGTACATTGTGATGGGTCTAAATACTTTCATTTGTTAACTTTTCAAGCCAAAATGTTTCCTATACATTCTATAATTTCGTACCAATGCCTTGATTCAAATTTGGCAAACATTAAGGAAAAAGTAAATAGTACCTACAATTCACATCAGAAATATGAATGAGATGCCAATACATTACTTCTTATATATATATATATATACACACACACACACACACAAACACACACACACTACACATTGCACAAAACACTTGGGCATTATGGACAGAAAACAGCACAGGGGACACTGGGAAGTACTTTTTAGCCTGTTAAGACCTTTACCTTGAGGCAAATACATGGTGGCACACTGTTGGAAAATTATGAAAACATAAGGCCCCTGTCCCATTTTTAATAGAACATTACTGAGGTACATTTTTATATGCTGTGCCACAGATCTGGGGTGGGAGCAGTGGGGAGAATAAACAAACATCAGTTTGACTTATAACATCGTGGGGGAGGTCAACATTAATAACTGTAGTGACAAAGATTGCTTGGCAAAGTTTCTCAAGTCCCAAATGTGATCTGTTATGGATACACTGAGAGGTGAAAGCTTTTGCTGAGTCTTGGAGAGTAAAGTGCATGTCTCATCACTCCACAGCAGCAGTAAGTAAAAGAAACTATTGTCAGTCTTCTTGGAGGGAGCGAAGGCACCATATTTTCATTTTTCAAAGGAAGATGAAACTGAGAAATAAAACATTCAGAAAAACACTAGTAATACCCATATCACTTTTCAACCCTGGTCTGGGAAAAAAAATGTTGTCGTGATCTACATGGATACAAAAGGATTTTATTTGGGGGAACACAAGGTAGCAAGGGATTATACTTTCAAATCCAAAAAGTAGGGTCACATGGTCTAATCAACAAACCAATTATCTAAAGTTAGGTTTGTCTCAGAAAATCTGAGTCATATGGCCACAAATGTGTGCCAATAAGAATCTCACTCCAAAATTCACCAACTAGTAATAGGTACATTCTTCCAGGACAGAGCTTAATGCCCAGTATGAGACTACTGTGAAGAAAAGTGGTATTCTAAGTGACCGATTAAATAGAAATTAACACCACCTGTTTACCTCTTCCTAACTAATACTCATATAGTACCCTAAAATCAAATGTTTAGCAGACAAATTGGTCCCATTTTCATTCTTAAACTATATACTATTTAAAGCATAAACTGTAGTGATTATATTAGAGTCACCAAAAAAAAATATATATATAAAATCTAATTCAAATCTGAAGGGGAAAGAGAAGAGTACAAAGCACGCCTTTAATCCCAGCACTTGGGAGGCAGAGGCAGGAGGATCTCTGTGAGTTCGAGGCCAGCCTGGTCTCCAGAGCGAGTGCCAGGATAGGCTCCAAAGCTACACAGAGAAACCCTGTCTCAAAAAAACAAAAAAAAAAAAAAAAAAAAAAAAAAAAAAAAAGAAGAGAAGAGAAGAGTACAAAGGAAAGAACAAAACATCCAGCCTCCAGAGTGAACAGACAGATGAGCTCTCTCGCAGGAGAGCTAGGCTCTGTCCTGACTCTCCTTACAGAGGAAACCGTGTATAGTGCTCCCACCAGAGTTCTAACCCCACATTCACAAACCACCACTGGAATTTGGCACAATTAGCAATCTACTAAGAAGAAGGGATAAACGGAACAGCATTAAACAAGAAGCCTGCACACCTAGCCATTGCGCTTCTAGAGAAAGTAAGCACCAAGTTTACAGAGGAAAACAGAAGGAAAACGAAAGTCGGCTATAAACCAATGGCACTAAAAATGACAACTGCAGTATTTATTTTCATTGTGGCCCACTCAACCGTTCTTCTCATCTATTCCCTGTTCTGTGATGAGTTCTGAATGTACTGAATATTCTGTGACGGAAATGTTTTCTTGTTAAATCAACCTTAATCGCATCTGATATATCCAGATCATAACATGAAACTTCCTCAACATCAGAGAAAAAAGTAAAATATTTTGTAAGGCTACCTGTCCTTCCACTCTCTTTTATTCTACGTGGTTTGGGAATTTGGAGTTTTTTTTTTTTTTTTTTTTTTTATAATTTCCCAGAGTTCAACATCCGGACTCTCATAGGTTTAAATAAATTTTAGTTCATTTCAGATCCTAATTATGACATAATTGCAATGCTTCAAGACTTCCTGGTACCTGCTATGCTGGCAACAATATTAACAGCTCACCCAAATCAGGGGATAAGAAGAGCCTAGCTCCACGTGAGAAAAGAGCAGAGCCCAGGAACAGCAGAGTGGGCAGAGCGAGCGGGACTGCAGCCGCGCGCATAGCTAAACTAAGGCAATCCCTGCTAAAGTGCTGGGGATGCGCCCACAGGGAGGACAGTGCCTTTGGGGAGCTCTCATGTTTAAGAGCACCTTCCTTTTCTTCTCGGCTACTAAAGACATCACCTCTGGACACAAATGAAATTTAAAATAGAAACAATGTTTTTTTTTTTCATCAACTTGAAAAGTAAACAGCAGATAAATAAATACTGGACAAGGGCAACCCTGTTAGAAAATAACAGTCAGTTCCAAATAGACCTTCAAGACCATAACTTGACAAAAATGCAAACTAACAATAAACATACAATCCCATTCCAAAAATGATAAACTGAAACATTGTATTGTAAATTAATAAAGACATTACAAAATAAAGTAAGACAACCCAAACACCAAAGAGAGGGGGGAAACCCCAAAACTGAAGCTAAATGGGAATTTAATGGCACAAATGTCTCAGAAAACAATGTGCTGTGTGAATAATTTATGGAAAAGAAACGCCAAGAGATCATGGTGTAGATTTTTCAAATGTTTTTGGGTAAGTGACCTGAGACTGACTCCTAAACCCATGGTAGTTCTGAATAAGATAGCTGGATATGCCCTTCAAATGACACCATGAGATGAGTAAACAGAACTTGGTCTCCTGTCTGCCTTCCAATACACAACCATATTCAGGATACTGGACACTTTCTAATAACACTGAAGACAGAGGAGCTGACTGGTATAAAAGGAAGTGTGGTTCTTTTTTCTTTTCTTTTTGGCCCAAGTAAAAAAGCCTTTAACTAATGAAATAAGATTCCTCGTGTTCCATGCTGGAGACCATACACTGAGCAGTGAATCCACGAGTCCAACCTTCAAAGCCTAGAGTTATGTTAGCAATAATGCATGTTATCAAGAGACTTTATGAAAGGTTTAGATGCCAACACAACTCAGACGTGGAAGATATGCACATGTCCTGGATATGGAATAAAAAGCAACCAGCATGTCATTCACTTCAAATCTCATTTTAAATAGGCACTGTGAAAATGGGAATGCTGCTGTACAATAATGAGGAGAATATAATGACATTAGTATTCTTTAAGGGGTACCTGCTCTACATTAATTCCCTTTAAAGATGCACATGAAATAATCAGAAAAAATGTATCAGTCTGTAAAAGGAGTTAGTGTAGAAATGAAATGAAGCCCTGCATCTTCATTTTGAACAATGTCACGAAGGTGCAAATGGCACCATGCTCTGCAGGCTCACATGGGCAGGTCAGTGCTATTATGTCTAGTTTTCCTAGATGTCCCATCGTCACGTGGCAGTGCTTTCTGCAAGTTGGACATAGCAGCAGTTCTCTCGATGTCGATCACAGCATACAGCTCTGTGCGCCTGGTCGGCGTTTGTGGAAGGGGAGTGGTAGGCGTTTTGGGAGTCTGAGGGTTGTCAGAGTCACTGCCACCTTCCAAATCCACCTGTATATAATTGAGTTGCCTGTGTTCTAAGCTGGGGCGCCTGATGTCAAAGTTAAAGACTGTCGGGGTACAATCCCGACGCCTTGAATAGTCTATTTTGTGAGCACTTGCTGGCACAGTTACATTCTCTGTATTAACATAGTTATGCATTGGATCTAGATTATTATGGTAGCCATTGAGAGATGGGGTCTTTGGTCCTAAACTGTCGTCTTCATCCCTACTTAGCTTTCGGGCTTCCCAAACAGGAGGCAAAGATGGCAAATTCTCATAGTTTAACAATGCAGTTCTCCTCTGAGCTGAGTTGTTGATGTTCTGAGTATCTGAGGTACTGGTAGATGTCAGACGACCTCTCCTGACCCCTGAGGCACTAGGGATAGATAGCCCATTTATATTTTCGTACACCAGTTTGTTAACAGAGGGGACATCTCTCCGCTCATCACTGTCATAGCCAGTGTCCCATTCCATGCTGTTTGCACCACCTCCACTAACTTGGTCTCTTCCAAGTTGCTCCAGTCTCTCCTTCTCCATCAACTGCTTCTGAACAGGGGTCGGTCCTAAAACAAATTTGACCCCTTCGGGTTTCAGAAGAACCTGAGGGTCCCTGTCTTCAATATTACTTGGTTCTTCTTTTGGTGTGTTGCTTTCAACATTAGAAACTCTAGCCTCTGGGGGAGGGACATGCACACTTGCACGGTTTTTTCGCTCCTCTTGCACGCCTGTAGTGTTAACATAGGTATGTACCTAAAAAGAAAACAAAGCAAATTAGTCAAGTATAAAGCACAAAGCAAAAATAACCCGATTAATCAGGGAGCTGGAGAGATGGCTCAGTGGTTAAGAACACTGGCTGCTCTTCCAGAGGACCTAAGTTCATATTTCCTAGCAGCCACATGGCAACTCACAACTGTCTATAACTCCAATGCTTCCTGAAGGCCTGTATAGGCATTGCACACATGGGGTGCAGACATACATACAGGCAAAACACCCACAGATAAAATTTTTTAAAAAGATCTTAGTCACATCAATTCATCTTATGTATTTATTGAAACAGGGTTTCATTGTGTAGCCCAGGTTAGCATCATACTAGATCCAACTGCCTCTACTTCCCAAATATTGGGACTATTGGCTTGTGTCACCATTCCTGGTTTACATAAGTTAATTTTATTACTTACTTTTTAGCTATACTGTTACCTTAAAACTTTTTACCAATTTTTTATCTATTAAAAAGATTGGAGCAAAGGAAAGAATACAGAAATCTCTTAATTTATAAAAAGAACAAGTACTTTAAAATAACACACAGTATTATATTTACGCAGTACTGTATTCATCAGGAAATGAGCTGATCATGGTGACACATACCTATAATCCTGGTATTCTGGAGGTAGAGGCAGGAAGATAGCCAAGTTTGAGACTATCATAGGCTATTTAACAAGATCCTGCCTCAAAAAAGAGGGAGGGAATGAGGAAGGAAGATTACTTTGCAGCTGTTTTAGAAAACCATGCTAAGATATTAAAATATAGTTCATAAATAAATAAAAACTGGAAAGGAAAAGGCAATTTTTATCATAAAGATTTCTTTACGATTTGACTTGACAAAAAGAAAACCCCTATGTAAGAGCTCTATAAAGTGTTTATATGCAAAATAGATACCACCCAGTAAGATATTGTTACCACTTAGAAAAGCTCAGTAGTAGTTTAGAAAGACAGTCTGAAAGTAACCTGAGGACTAGACCTAAAAATTTGAGGATTCAAAATGAAATGCAAAACTGAGGAAAATGTAATTATAGTAAATAATATAAAAATATTTACTACATAAAGAACACAAAGAAATTCACTTTAAAAATACTAAAAATCCCTTAATGGCAAATGATCATATAACTTAACAAAAGACAGACTTATCTGATTATATATATTGTTCTAACAAATACTTGGTTCACATTTGAACCAAGCAACTTCAACAGCAGAATCTACCCTTCCATCTGCAGCTCACTGGTAACAAAGACTAAAACACAAAAAGCAGCATAAACTCTTAAACAATGAGAAATGGCTGAGTTTGTCTTTCTTCATCAACAGATGTATCTTTCTACGGACACACAAACTACGCAGAAATTTCTTCAATCTGAGCACTCAGGAGGCAAAAAGGCAGGCAGATCTCTATGTAAGTCCAAGACCAGCCTGGTCTACATAGTGAGTTCCAAGACAACCAGGGCTCCAAAGTAAGACGCTTTCTCAAAAGAAAGTTCCCCTGATGTCTGTATATATTTTGGGAAACACACTGGCAAATACATGCCATTTCTTCCATTGTCAATGCATAAGTAATTCACAGTGGAAGTTAAAATTCATACTGAACAAAAGCTCCAATTGTCAACACTGTGACTCTTTACTCCACTAAACAGTTCGCTATTACACAGTGGCAGTTGCTTACTTGTTCCTCGGCCACAAGCAAAGGATGTGTAGACTCTTCACCGACTGAGGGTAAGCGAGCACTTCCCACAGAAGGATGCCGGCTGGAGGGGTGGGATGAGGCATCTCCAAATGAGGGGTATCGGGGATATCCATTAGGTAAGTTCTGAGCAGCAAACCCTGGAGCTGAGAAAGATGATATGGGAGTAGGGCAGAGAGTAAGAATGAGTGAGACTCTAATCTGCTGGTGAGACATAGAGAAACTAGAGCACAAACAGCAGCCCATCCAGTCTTACTGTATCAGCTAACCGTTCTTTGTGGCAATGTTGGTGATAAAGCACCTGACCCCACTCCCACAAACAAGCATTCTGACACCAAGCTATATATACTCCTGGCTTTTAACTCACATTTTAGGAAATGTGACATATTTAATGTTTTCATCTTTAAAAATGTCTGTAACTAAAGCTAACAGGGATTTTGTTGTTGATCACCATTTCTAATTGTTATAGATTAACTATCCATAAGCTGTATCTTATAAATGTCTGACATGCAAAATGAGGGGGAATGGCTACTTACTTGTAGGTGTTCGAGGTGTTCTAGGGACTTCCAATTCTGTCTGATGACTATTCCTTTCTACAACCGGCTCTTCTACCACATTTATACTGTTATTTTGCATAATCTCTTGCAACATGTTAAATAATTCTTCTGCACGGGCACACTTAAATGCAAAGATTCCTACAAATATGAATCAAGAGGGAAACATGGCAACCATGCCTTTAAAAAGCCATAGAAGTTTGGTCAAGAAAGCAGAGGTTAGCAGTGACTGCAGTATTTATATCAAAGGACAGAAAACAAGTGACTGCTGGATGCCCAGCCATAATCGGGATGTATAACCCTCCAAGACCCAGGAACAGCACGGAAGAAAGGGCAGGAAAATGTCAGACACAAAGGAAGGGCAAGGAATGTATGCAATGTTGCTGCACTCTTGAATTCACAGTAGCTGGGATTATGCACATAAGAACTGAATTTATTAGACCATCAACATACCCTGTCATGGGGTAGGGGAGTTGGCTCCAGGGGGCTTAGGATTTATACCTAGTTAGTGGTTAATGTGGGAAGGAAAGACGTTATCAATGGTGAAGCCAAGGCAAGGTGCCTATGCTCTTGTGAACAAACTCTCACGCAGGTTCCTATAAAGGACTCCAACGACACTCACTGGGATTCTCCCAAATCCCCTCCCAATGACATGAAAGTAGATGGGGACTAACAGGTAAGGGAAAGAGATAAGCAACAGAGGAGAGGAGTAAGAGAGGACAAGAGGGGTGATATGATCAGATTTTATTATATACACATATGAAAATGCCAATAAAACCCATTTTATATATAATTAATATGTGGTGATAAACATTTTTGAAAAGTTGTAAGAACACATCAAAGAAAAAGTTACGAAATAGGTATCTATGGTGGTCTGGGTCCTATAGGCTCAAGCACGTCTAGTCCTCAGTTGTGGAATGTTTGAGTAGGATTTGGTGTGGCCTTGTGAGAGGGAGTATGTCACTCGGAAGGTTTTGGGTGTCAAAAGTCCAGGCCAGTCCAGTCTCTGCTGCTGCTAGTGCATCAGGATGCACTGCTTTCAGCTACTACCAGCACCATGCATTCAAAGCATGCTCCCTGCCACGAGGACAACTGTAAGCCAGCACCCAGTTAAATGCCTTCCTTTATAAGGCTTGCCTTGGTCATAGTGTCTCTTCTCAGCAATAGAACAGTGACTAAGACAGCATCCGAATGCGCCAACAGCAAGAAATAACTTGTGATAAATTACATACGCCTTATTTTAAGGCATAAATCTATAAGGCTCTCAGATAATTTTTGTTTGTCTAAAGGACAATGTTTCAGAGCAAAGCAAATGAGATCTGCACATCTACTCCAGAATCTTGAACAGCAGGGGGAGCCCAGTCATCAGTGACAAACAACACTCTACCACTCAACAGGCCTGGCTATGGGCTTTATGATCATGACCGTGTTCATTGTCACAATTCCATAAGACAGGTATTATCATTCCCCCTTTACAAAGGCCCAACAGAAAGCATATAGCTTGCCCAGATCACTCCATTAGTAGGAAGCCAAAATTATTATCATTACTGTTATTACTAATAAATTAATAAAAAAACATGTTCTGACTCCATTGTTTACATTCTTTGCCCAAGATCCAAAAATGATACTTAGCCATTTTATTTCTATGGGGGGGGGAATACTTAGTGCATGCTTGATAAATGAATTCATAATTAATCTGTTTTCTTTTCCTCTTTTTTTTTTTTTTTTCAGAGAAAGGGTTTCATTGTGTTAACTGTCCTAGCTGTCCTGGAACTCACTCTGTAGACCACACTGGCCTCAAACTCAGAGATACACCTGCCTCTCTGCCTTCTGAGTGCTAGGATTAAAAAGAGTACCATTAGTGCCCGGTCATGATTTATTTATTATGTACACAGTGTGTGGTGATATATTAATTATAATTTATTAAAGCTTGCATGAGGAGTTAGAAAGCAAAGCCAGCCACAAGCTATAAAGGTCAGGCAGTGGTGGCACACACCTTTAATCCCAGGACTCAAGAGACAGGCAGATGTATCTCTCTGAGTTCAAGGCCACCCTGACCTACATAAGAGTGAAAGATAAAAAGGCTCATGCCTTTGATCCCAACACTGGAAAGGTATAAAAGATAGGAGCAGGGTCTTCAGTAGTTAGTCTCAGGCATTGATTCTCCGGCCACATTGAGGAGAAGACAGCAGTCTGACGCTTGGTAGAGCTCATAGAGACAGGATTACCATTTTAGCTGGGTAGAGGTAAGATCTACTGGTTTGGCTGCTTTGCTTCTCTGATCTTCAGCCTGAACCCCAATATCAGTCGCTGGGCAGAACACTATTTGTTCTGCCCAGAAAAGAGCACCAGATCTCATTACAGATGGCTGTGAGCCACCATGTGGTTGCTGGGAATTGAACTCAGGAGTAGCCAGTGCTCTTAACCTCCTTATCACTTTACCCCCCCCCCCCCACATCTTTTAACCATCCTGTTTGAGGGCTTGGGAGTTATTTCATTTACTGGCATAAGGGTCTTCCTTCTTAAAGGAATTTGCTATGTATAATTTGCAATAACCCTTCTGCTTCTACCTCCCAAATGCTAGGTGTACAAGTATGTGGCACCATTCCCAGTCTTTCTTTCAGAAATGAAGCACTGTACACAGAATAACTGAAAGCACGATATTTCAGGTATGATATCTGGAGAAGACAAAGGCTTTACCTACCTTGTCCAGTCTGACACCTTCGGCCACTTTCAAAAGAAAAGAGATTGGAGTCATAGCCGTATCGTCGCAGGCAGAGGTAGTGCCATTTTACCGAGTCGCGTTTCCGGGTGTAGAGGATCAGTTCTGTGTCTGTAAGCTCCATTATGCCAGAGCCCAGCTCATTTCCATCATCATCCACATTAATGACCTAAGAGGAAACGATAATAACTTACACATTTCACCCTTCTTCAGAAAAAAATGCACTGCTGTAAGTTCATCCACCTGTCAATGTGTGTAGGATATGATCTATGTAGCAATAAAATAATATTCACATGCATAGATTTTACATTCCCACTAGAGAAGATACAAACACCAAGTCAAACTATGTTAGATTAGCTGACAAATGAATGCAACAAGGACTATACAAGGCAGAATGACTGCCTAAGGTGGCTGAAGAAAACAAGGAGGGATTTTAACTAGACTTGAGTATGATTAACTTTAGAGAGAAAATCCAGCAAGAGGGGAATCTGGTGGCTTACAAGATATGAACACAATATGAAGACAGAATGCTGAAACAGAATAAAGAAAGCACCTTTATAACCCAGCACCCGGGAAGCAGAGACAGGCGGATGGATCTCTGTGAATTCGAGGCCAGCCTGGTCTCCAGGGCGAGTGCCAGGATAGGCTCCAAAGCCACACAGAGAAACCCTGTCTCGAAAAACCAAAAAGAAAAGAAAGCACCTTTAAAGAGACCAAATTAAGACAGGCCCAAAGTCCATCTAATGAAAGGACTGCACTGCCCAGCTCCAGAAATACCCAGAGATAAGCTGGGTGAATGGCTCAGGGATAGAGCACTTGACTAACACACATGAAGCCCTAGGTTCCACTCCTAGTGCTGCAAAAAAAGAGAGAATGGCCAAAGACTAAGAAATAAAACTAAGACTAAACCAAAGACTAAGACTAAAGGGTAACATTTATGGAAGAGTTGTTATACCCCTGGGGCACACACAGGTGATTTGTATGTACTTCCCCAAAAATGAAGATAAAAATCTTCTTAACAACCCTCGACTACAGGTCTCCATTTTACACCAGTGGAAGTAATGATAGTAATAATTATACATACTGCTGTTAAGTAACAGCGCTGAACTAACACTGTAAGTGACACTAAATAGCTCTGGCAGCATTCAGCCTATTTTATCAGCACAGGTTACTGAAGGACAAAAGAGGACCAAGAATGGAGGACAGGGTAAATATAAGTATAGTGCAGCTAAGAAATCAAGCCAGAGATGGTAGCACAAAGCTGCAATCCCAGCTACAGTAGAAAAGAGGAGGTCTGAGGTCTACAAGATAGTCTTGGATACGAAGGTCAGACCATCTTATCAAGAAAAAAAAAAAGGCCGAACAAGGTGGCACACACCTTTAATCCCAGCACTCAGGAGGTAGAAGCAGGTGGATCTCTGAGCTCAAGGCCAGCCTGGACTATAAAGCAAGTACCAGGACAGCCTGGACTATTACACAGAGAAATCCTGTGTGTTTGGGGTGGAGGGTGGGGGCGAGCACCAAACAAACAAACCAACAAAAACAAGAAAAAAATCCATCATCTAAGCATGCATGAAGATGTCTAAATGATGGTGCTAGAGTTTGGATCCTGAGTATCTCCCTTAGGCTTAAGTGTTAAAGGCACACACTCCATCTGTAGCAATACTTAAAAAGAAGGGAGGGGTCTTCTAGTCACTGTGGTGATTTCTATGAAGAAGACCCCAGCTATGACTTTTTCTCTACCCTGACCATCACAAAGGAGATTCTGCTCTACAACACACTCTGCCCTGATGGGCTATTGCACCACTGTCCCATACCAGTGGGACAAACTCTTCTTCAACATAAGACTTCATATAGTGACAGAAAGTTGACAAGTGTAAGACAACTGTAGAATGACATTTTAAAGAAATAATTACCACAATTATGTGATTAACTGGACACAAAGAACCAAATGACTACTAAAGGAGGATTCCTATTACGGTTTGTCCCCCTAACTATTCATCTGTGGGAGACTTGGTCATCACTGTGGCAGTGCTGACTTTTAAGAAGTGGACATATGGGAGGTCCTTAGGTTACTGGGTTGTGTGTCCTCAAACAGGATCAACACAGGACCTGCAAGATTCCAGACAGTCATACTATACCACAAGGCAGTCTAGTAAAGGGGTCCTTGGTTGGGGCCAGTACTATGCAGATTGAACTTTTCTGTTCAAAATTATGAGCTGAACAAACCTCTTTTCTTTATAACTATTTAGCTGGAGGTATTTGTTACAGTAATGAAAAGTGGACCAACGATCCATATTGTTAGTAAGAAAGTGCCATCATATACTCTGACCTGAACAATGGGGAGCTCATGGACCCCAGACTGACAGCTGGAAAACCAGCATAGGAATGACCCAGAACCCCTGATTGTGGGTGTCAGTGAGGCAGCCTCAGAAATCTATGGGGCCTCTGGGAGTGGAACAGTATTTATCCCTAGTACAGGAATGAACTTTGGGAGCCCATTCCACATAGAGGGATACTCCCTGAGCCTAGACACACAGGGGAGGGTCTAGGCCCTGACCCAAATGATATGACAGACTTTGAAGATCCCCCATTTAAGGCCTCCCCTCCCTGGGGAGCAGAAAGGGGATGGGATAAGAGGGTCAGTGGGGGGGCAGGGGAGGAGGGGAGGGAGAGGGAACTGGGATTGCATGTAAAACAAGCTTGTTTCTAACTTAAAAAAAAAAAAAAGAAAAGAAAAAAAAGGTGGACTCTGGAAAAGAGGAGAAATAAGAAGTTCTGGGTAATAAAAAGAAGGCAAGATAAATGAGATGTTCAAGTACATCCAAGTAGGCAGAAGAAGAAAAGCAAAGTTCTGCTGGTTTTACTGACCTTAAACTTGTTCCGATGGTTATCTGGGACAGTGTCTTTATCTGGACAGCTACAGCAGCTACCCATGGCTTCTTCAGAAGGCCATGTGAGCACTGCATAGAAAATCATTGAAAGAAAGTTACTATATCAGGGTACAAAAGCTGCAAAGCAGGAAAACACTACAAAGCACTCTACACAAGCATGATATTTTGATGTAGAAAATAAATCCCAATGATGTTAATGTTTAGAACTAAATTTCATTCAACTGGTTGGTCAATTCTGCTTGATGGTAAATAAATTACATAAGATACATGCCACAGAGACTCAGATTCCCAGTTTAATTTACAAAGGTCTGCTTATTTTAAAACCATGTACCACTACCTAAACAATCAGCTTACAGCTAATTCAATAATTAATCAAAAAATTAATCTTTTATGGCTTATCAGAAATTTCATGTCTACCTTTTTAAAAAATAAAAGCTGGGCATGTGACACATTCCTTTAATTCTAGCAGGAACAGGCAGCTCTCTGTGAGTGTGAGGCCAGCCTGATTTATACAGTGAGTTAGCTCCAGGCCAGCCTGGGATGCACAGGGAAACCCTTTTTCAAAGTGTATGTGTGCTTGAGCGCACGTGCGCGCGCACACACAATTTAAGCCAACAGGTATTTGATACTTATTACTGGTTGCAGTCCCTTTTGCATATATTATTAGATAAGAGTTCATGGCAAGCAACATACAACACCAAATTTTTTTTTAATTTTATTGTAATTTTTTATTTTGTTTTTTTGAGGCAGGGTTTTTTGTAGCTTTAGAGACTGTTCTGGAACTTGCTCTGTAGACCAGGCTAGCCTTGAACTCACAGAGATCCACCTGTCTGCTTCCCGAGCTACAACATCAAACTTTAAACAGTACATTAGTAAGAAAGAAGGTCAACTCAAAATCAACCAGTAGAGGGGCTGGAGAAATGGCTCCAGCAAGTTAAGAGTACTGGATGCTCTTCAAGAAGTTCTGAGTTTAATCCCAGTGTCCTCATGGTGGCTCATAACTATCTCTAGTGAAATCTGGTGCCCTCTTCTGGCCTGCAGGCAGACATGCAGGCAGAACACTATACATAATACATAAATAAATCTTTAAAAAAAAACATCAACCAGTAGAATAAAACACACAACATTGGCCAACCTGATATACATTGTCTATTTAATCCTTTGTCACAGAAAGTCAACATAAAAGAGCAGAGAAGATGTGTAACAGATAAGGTTTTAGTGTGGGGTGGGGGCGGGTACGGGAGGACGGGTGGGAGAAGGGAAATGGGATTGTCATGTAAAACAATCCTGTTCCTAATTCAAATAAAAAAAGTTGGGGGGGGAAAAAAAAGAATACCAGACAGAACTCCAAAAAAAAAAAAAAAAAAAAAGAAAGAAAGTCAACATAAAAGGGTACAGAGATGGCAATAAGTGTTCAAGAGCATTCCAAGTAAACAAAGGAGAATGCCAAAGCATTAATTCTAAACACAGTAGACAAGCAGAATACATCGGCCATTTGCTACACAGGCTAGCCAAAGATGCACAGGAGCCACACAACATTACAGACACAGCTCTGACTGAAACTGTTTAAATTCAGGGTTTTGTTTTTCTTAACTATTTCCAGGTTTAAAAACCAAAACCCCCTTCTCCCCTGCTCGAACTACCCTACCTATAGTTAGAATAAACAAACTAATGTCCCCCACATCAGCTAACTGTCTCATGTCCTGCCACAACAGCTTTCTTCGGCATCCCTTTTCCAAGATGAAACGTTTCCTGGCCCCAACCTCTTAGATTAATTGGAGTTCTCACACACCCCCATCTAAGCACCCTGGGCTGTCCAGCAGCACAGCACCCACCAGGCTTTGTCATTAGCAGAAACTGTGGCTGTCTACCCACTTACACACTATTCTCGCTCCACTGTGAGCTCTTCCCAGCAGAAGTGAGCCTTACTCACCCTGTACACCTAGTATTCAACACTAAGGAGTTACTGTAGGCCATCTGTAAACTAAATGAACTATACTCTAAGGTAAAGAATGTCTGGCAATTAAAATTAAGATGAAAAATTGTACTAGTGTATAAACCCAATGAAATGCTAACCTGCAGTAAAACAGCATGGTCTCATATGGTGTTTTGTGTGCTAGTCAACTGACTCACCTTGCTATGATCTCTGAAGACAGGTACCCTGTCTTCTTCATTCTCTAGCGCACACTGTTGAACATAGCACATGTTCCACAAATGTTTGAAGTTTTTTTACTGACAAGTGTTAAATTATTAAATGAGAAAAATTTTTAAGTTTACAAAAAGTATAATTGATAAAACACTTTGAAAATCTTAAGATCATATGACACTTTTTCCCTGAGCTCTTTAAATGCATTCATTTTTAACTAGGAAAGGGAGATAGCCAGATGTGTAAAATTCATCAGCCTGCAAGATACAGGTAGGCAGGAGTTTAACTAAAAAATCAACAGATTTACAAATGAAATGTGATGAAGACCTCATGTGGCAGCAGCAATAGGTATGAAGAAGAAACTGATAAATTAAAAAAACAAAAAACAAAAAACAAGGTTGACAGAGCCGAGAGGCTGGCTTGGTGTAAAGGAGCAGAAAGCAAGTATCCATCATGTAGATGACAGGTAGTGTCCCACAGCCCAACATGCTTCAGCTAGAAGTGACAATGACCTCAGCTTCAGCTATCAAGCCTGAGGTTGCAGACAACAGCCAATTGAAGACATACAAAAGAACTAAATATGTAAACATAGTTCTGAGGGAGCAGCTTAGAAATATAATGCATGGAGCATGAAAGCTAGAAGAGAAAGGAAGGCTGGGGCTGGAGGTGGCTCAGCAGTTAAAAGGACTTCCTACTCTTGCTGGTTAAGTGCAAGGGACCGAGGTTTGGTTCCCAGTCCTCAGATGGTGGTTCACACTCACCTATAATCACGGAATAAAGAACCATGTACTCTTATAAGCTCATTTATCTAGAATGCAGCATATATGTAAGTGGACTTATGTCCCCCAGGACAACACTGACATCTGAGTACACTCAATAGCAACAGGTAGCCTTTATCTGAGATTAATTTCCACAAGTTGGCTGAATATTCTATATTAGGAAACTGTGTTTGTTTAATTAAAGCCATTTGCACTTATTTTCTGGGGATGGGAGAGTCAGCAAATCAAGACACAACATTGTTACATTCAATAAAACAAAATTAAGTTGATGGGTCCTTTCTTTTAAGGTAAATTTCAACTTACCTAGATCTGGCCATTAATATTGTTAGCCTCTGATGCTGCATCAGGAGATTAATCATATTTCAAAATACAATGTCTTCGTTTGCTAACAACCTAGAAGTAACAAAAAAAAAAATTAATCTCTTTCTGGCAGTTGAACCCAGGACCTCATACATGCTGAAGGTATATTCTTAACCACTGAAGAACATACCCAGCCCTGAGACTTTATTTCTTGTAATATAAAGCTTTCTATTCTGAGGCTGCTGGCAGCACCACTAGTTAAGCTGACCTATACAAACAAAGTCAAATATCTAAAACATTAATTTAAAATTACTTAATACTTGAGCTAGATTTTTAAAAAGAAAGTAACAAATGCATGGACCTAAGTTATGACAACTCTGGCTTCTCTACTGCAGCTACGACATTGACTGACGTCCCTAAACACACATCCTCTGCTATAAAATATGACTCCTTTCCAGACCTACAGTCCTGTTTAAGCCTGCAATGCATTGAGCAGGCATTCTTGGTGGAATTTTTGTTTTAAAATTTATTTTTATTTTATTTCTACCAGTTTTGCCTGCATATATGTCTGTGCAACATACATGCCTGGTGCACTCAGAGGCCAGAAGGAGGTGTTGGATCCCATGTAACTGAAATTACAGACAGCTGTGAGCTGCCAGAGAACTGAAGCCCAGGTCTTCTGCATGAATAGCAAGTGCTCTTACCTGCTGAGCTATCCCTCCAGCCCCAAAGGTTCTTAATGTTCAATAATCAAAAATAAATACCAAAACAGATAATACATCTGAGATGTCTCTACTGTACTGCAATGCATGACTTCACTATTCATGTTCCACCCTTAACATCAATGAACACTACTATCAACACCTTGCCTCAGACAGGAGAATGCTAAATGCTGTGAAGTGCAGCACTTATATTGTAACTATAGTTTTCTGTTCTTATACAAACATAAAGGCTTAACTACAGAAAACAAAGAGTGCTTTTGTAACTTCACTCCTCTACAAAAGCATCCAATTAGTCTATCTTTGACTTGTATTGTAGTAGAAGGCTTGATTTTTACCAAGCAACATTCCTAGAACTGATTATTGCAAAACCAAAATACCAATCAACTAGGAAGATGTTTGATACTGTGTCCTGCAGTATCACATATTCACCCAACATTTAATTCTTTATGTAGAACTAAGTATACAGAGTTTCTTTTGGTAAAATTATATGTATATCGGAGGCCAGCCTGGTCTACAGAGCAAGTTCCAGAACAGCCAAACTTAGGCAGTGAAGGAAACCAGAAAGCTAGTGAAGTTGTAATTGAATGAGGGGCCCATGTTCCAGCCCCAGCAAACAGCAAACTTGGCAGCTTTGGCCATTTGGTCTGGCTTTAAGGATAGAGGAAAAGGATTATGGAATTTGTTTTAGTGGCTAAGGAATGCTGCTGAGGCCAGGCATGTGTCAGGGATGTCCCTGAATGGAGGCTAGAGAGGCCATTTCATGGAGCTGTGAAAGTGAAGCCTGGATTGCCTTGAAAAACCCAAGATGTTGGAGATGCTAGAGCCGTGGGATGCCTGCCAAGAAAAACTGCTAACAGGGAGTGGAACCAGCCCAAGAGAAAGAAGTGAGTTGCAGTCAACAGAGCTGAAAAGAGTTGGAGATTAGACATAGAGACGAAGAGTTTGGTGTTTGCCCAGCTGGTTTTCAGTCTTGCTTTGGTCCAGTATCCCTTCACTATGCTCCCTTCCCTATGTTTTAGAACAATAATGTATATCCTTGTCATTATATGTTGAAAGTATGTGATCTGTTTTTTCTTTTAAAATAGGGGATTACAATTAAGAGATTATATGAATATCAAAGAGACTTGGAATTTAGGACATTTAAACACAGTTGAGACTGTGATGGGCTATGAGGACTTTTGAAGTTGGACTGAATGCATTTTTGCATTTTGATATGGTCACAAGCCTTTGGGGGCCAGGAAGTAGAATGTGGGGATTTGAAAGAAAATTCTCCCCAAAAGGAGTGGCACTATTAGGAGGTGTGGTCTTGTTGGAATAGGTGTGGTCTTGCTGGAGGAAGTGTGTCACTATGGGGGCAGGCTTTGAGGTCTCCTATGCTCAAGCTACTCCCAGTGAGACCATCTACTTTCTGTTGCCTGCATATCAAGATGTAGCTAGCACCATGTCTATCTGCTTGCAACCATGCTCCCTGCCATAACGATAATGGACTGAACCTCTGAAAATGTTACCCCAATTAAATGTTTTTCCTTTATAAGAGTTGTCATGGTGGTAGTATCCCTTCACAGCAATAGAAACCCTAACTAAGGCAATTTACTACGAGGATATGCTTAGATGATACTGTGCAAGTGGTAGCACCAATACAAAGATTGAAAGACATTTTATTATTATTATTTTTTGTGTGTATGGATGTTTTGTCTGCATGACACCAGAAGAAGGCATTGGATCCTATAGGACTACAATTATGGATGGTTCTGAGATGCTAGGTGAGTGCTGGACTTGAACTCAGGACCTCTGGAAGAGCAGATGGTGCTCTTAACCACTGAGCCATCTCTCCAGCCCCCTATTTATTCATGTTTTAAAAGATTTACTTGTAGCAGGGTGGTGGTGGCGCACACCTTTAGTCCCAGCACTTGGGAGGCAGAGGCAAGTAGATCTTTGTAGTTCGAGGTCAGCCTAGTCTACAGAATGAGTGCCAGGATAGGCTCCAAAGCTACACACTGTTTCAAAATACAAAAACAAACAAACAAAAAGAGATTTACTTTTATTCACATGTGTGTATACATCTGCATAAGGGAATATATACCCTATGTTTGGGTGCCCACAAAGAGGATGCTGAATTCCTTAGAGCTTGTGGGTGCTGGGAACCAAACTAAGACCCTCCAGAAGCACGGTAAGTGTTCTTTCCTGCTCAGCCATCTCTCTCCCGCTACTAATTGATTTTTGATTAACAAACATAAAAATGTGTGTGTGTGTGTGTGTGTGTGTGTGTGTGTGTGTGTGTGTGTGTGTATGGGATACTATTTGATGCTCCATACATACAGTGTAGGTTGATTCAATCAGGCTAATGACTTGATAATCTATCACCTCAAATATGTTTGTTATGTGTGTGAAAACATTTAAAGTCATCTCTCTCTTTAAAAAAAATTATATGTATATCAATTTTTTTTTCAAATAAAAATTTCATGGTTTATTATCAGGAACTGTTTCACTTGTATACTTATTTTATAAATAAATACCTATGGTTATTGAGGAAAAAAAAAAAAAACCTTTCTCATACAAAAGGGTCATGAATGAAAACGTTTAAGAAGCTCCATTCTATACATGCTCTATTCTCCAGTGACTCAAACAGATCCATTAGGCTTTGTCTCTGGTGTCTAAAACTGTCCACAGCTAAATTAATCCTATACAAATCACGTATCTTCTTTGACACTGTGATCCCATTGTCTGCCTGTTTTCTAAAAGCTTTAAGTATTCGGGAAGCCCTCTTCCCTTCTGTTCTCAGGTGTCTGTCCACGTCCACTCTGAATGAGTTCACAGCTACTTCATAAGCTGAAAAGAAATAACAGTGGCCCAGATTTGACAAAATATAATAAGGAAAAGTCCATTTGAAGTTAAACATACTACAGAATTAGTGTGCCAACCTGTAAGTACTTAAAAATAATTAAGACCCATTTAACATTTTTGGAAAACATTTACTTTGTCCTCTTTTTCAGAGGCAGGGTCTCACTATGTAGCTCTGGTGTCCTAGAATTCACTATGTAAACCAGGCTGGCCTTGAACTCAGAGAGATCCCCCTGCTTCTGCTAGCATTAAAAGCTGTGTCAGTGACAGGCATGGTGACTCACACCTTTAGTCCGAGCACTCGGGAGGCAGAGGCAGGCAGATCTCTGTAAGACCAGCCTGGTCTACAAGAGTTAGTTCCAGGACAGGCTCCAAAGCCACAGAGAAACCCTGTCTGGGGGCGGGGGGGAAGAGCTGTGTTAACACACCTGGCTCCTCTGTCCTCTTTCTGAAGCTCAATGTTTTTACTCAAGTGTTTGTTACTACTGTTACTGTTTGTCTGTTTTGGCAATTTAGAAACTTATCAAATTCCTTACTTAAGTTAAATCAGATTCTTCTTAATTGTTTTCTCAGGAAGAGACAAAGCAAACCAGGATGACCATGAAGAGTGAGCTGTTCGTTTCCAAATGTTTAAACCACCTTCACTTTCTGAAGTAGCTTTGACACTTGTTTACTATAGACACAGCTGCTTCAGGTAAGCTAAGAAAAGTTACTTAGTAGAGTAAAATGATCTGTAAACAGCTAACACTAAGCTAACACTAATGTAGTCCTCTCGACTCACATACTGGAGCATCCAACAAACATTCTCTGGACATCCACTCTCTGCAAAGCAATCCAATGAATGCAGTAATTCCTATTCTGCAGATAACAGATTCCGAAGGGAGGAGTACAAAGAATCAGGAACACACCCAACAAAGTCACTGGTCATGTGGAAGTGCTGTGAAAAGCTTGAACTGAGTACAAAGTGTGCACACACACACACACACACACACACACACACACACACCCCAAAAGCCTACTCTAAGAAACTGGTTTGCTACAATTCCTTCAAGCTGGAATGGCGCTGAACCCCTTGGAGCTGGCGTCACCCTATGGGTGCTGGTAACTAAACTCTGGTCCTCTGAAAGAGCAGCAAGCTCTCTTAACCACAAAGGCTTCTGACCACTGAGCCACCTCTCCAGCCCCAATCAGAGAAATACTACTGAAAAGGATTAGTGAGGCTGGGGACGTAGCTCAGTTGGCAAAGTGCTTCCCTGCCATGAACAAAGGCCTAGGTTCAGCCCCAGCACCACATACATATACTCCACACAGTGGGACACACCTGTAATCCCAGCACTCAACAGATGGAGGTATGGGATACGAACTTCAAAATCATCCTCAGCTGCATAGAAAGTGTGAACCCAGCACAGAGTATGTGAGATGCTGTCAATCAATTTTCCAACCAATCAATATAAGGGCTTGAGGTATAGACATGCACCATATATAGGCAGGTGCCTGTGGGAGCCAGAAGAGGGAGTCAGGGTCCCTGGA